CCCTCCTCCACTGTTGACCCCCCCCCCCCAAGCACCAAGAATACGGAGCATCACTTGCCCCAGACACAAGAACATAAGAGAAGCCAGTGTTGGATCAGGCCAGTGGCCCATCCAGTCAAACACTCTGTGTCACTCGGCTCCATATGTTCATCCAAGTCCCTCTTGAAGCCGTCCATGCTTGTAGCCACCACCACCTCCTGTGGCAGAGAATTCCATGTGTTAATCATTCTTTTGGTGAAGAAGCAGGGGTCATTTGGGGGGGGACACGGGGGGACGCCATCCCCCCGGGTGAGGTGTGGGAGGGCGGGGCCTGGAGCTCCCTGCTGGTGCCCGCTGGAGGTCGCCGCCGGCTGTGGGGAGGACACACTTCCGGTGATGTCAGGGGGTGTGGCATATGCTAATGAGTTATGCTAATGAGTCCCCCTAGCTCTTTTTCTACGAAATGACCCCTGTGAAGAAGGACTTCCTTTTATCCGTTCTGACCCAACTGCTCAGCAATTTCATGGAGGGTTCTTGTATTGTGAGAAAGGGAGAAAAGTACTTCTTTCTCTACCTGCTCTTTCCCATGCATAATCTTGTAAACCTCAATCATGTCACCCCTCAGTCGTCGTTTCTCCAAGCTAAAGAGCCCCAAAGCGCTTTAACCTTTCTTCATAGGGAAAGGTGCCACTTATTTTTTATTTTTATTTATTACATTCGATTTATATACTGCTCCTAACCCTGGAGGGTCTCTGAGCGGTTTACATAGGGGTTCCAAATTCAGTTTTAACCTACCTAAGGCCACACAGTACAGGGGGCAGGGCTTCCTATCAGCACCCAGGCAGCAGGGTTAGCCGATCTTGTTGGCTTCTTCCAGCGGCCTTGAGTGTTGAATTCTCCGGTGCCCTGGAGCAGGTCTCCCAGTCGGCAGCTTCCTTCGGCAGGCCATCCTGATGCGGCGTCGTGTCGGCTGCAGCTTCGGCTATGTCCAACCAGCTCCGCCGTGCCGCGCCGACCACGTCATCGCGCCTCTCATGGCTCCGACTCTCCCGCCACTCGATGCTGTGCTCGCTGGTCATCCGAGTCGTTTGCCACCATTCCGCCGCACCACCAATGCCGCCAGTTTTCCCACTGCATCTCCACGAGGAGGAGGGTGCCCCCTGCCACCTAGGGCAGGTACCCATTTTATCTACTTGCATTTTAATGCTTTCGAACTGCTGGGTGGACAGGAGCTGGGACTAGGGCCGGGAGCTTTGTTCTGCCGCTTCTGACCAACACAGCTACCCACCTGAATCTACCTCCATTTGTGTGATGATTGTGCCACCACAAATACCACAGAAACTCCTTCACCTTCCTAGCCTACTGGGTTTAGACATTTGTTCTTCACTGAAGTCACCACCAGTGTTCCCTCTAAGCTGAGTGACTGTGAGCCAGCTCACAGTTTTTTAGCCTCCGGCTCATACATTTTTGTCTAGGCTCAGGAAGGAGGGCTCCAGAGCAAACTAGTTTATGCAGTAGCCAAATTGCTTGCTCACAACTTTAATGCCAGTAGCTCACAAAGTAGAATTTTTGCTCACAAGACTCCACAGCTTAGAGGAACTCCATTCCTGTTCCACACACACATGGCCACAAAGGTAGTGTGCTGTTCTCAGTGGACTCTCATCTCTTTTCAGAAAAATTAACACTGAAGCCCCTTCACCTTCTTGATCTTACAGCTTTAGAAATCAACTGTTCTTCTTTCAGGGCAGGTCCTGACATCTTTTCAAAAGCCACCATAAAAGCAATGACTCCTCCATATTTCACCACATCCATAACCACATGTACTCCACGTTATACCACCTCAGCAGTGGCCACAAAAATTGCACACCATGCTCAGCAGCAAAGCTGCCCTGAGCCTGCCCCGGTGGGAATCCAATAAATAAAAATAAAATAAAACCATCTGCTATGTGACAACTGAAATCATTTCATCTTCTTAACCTATGGTTTTAGACATCAACTGTTCTTCACAGAAGTCAGTGCATAACCACTGACTCCTCCACATTTCAGTACAACCAGTGTGTGGCATCTTGATTGGCCATGTGTACTCTTTATTGTCCCACCTCTGCCACGGCCACATACGTAGCACATCTGCCTCAGTGGAACAGCCACCTTTTCTGGTAGGAAAATGACACAAAGATCCCTCAGCTTTCCACTATCCTCTGCCCATACTAATCTCACAGATGCCACAGATGTGACCTAGCTAGATGGAACCAATCAGTCACTCTTAGGATGTCCAGCAAGAAAGTTCCACAGTAGTTTAATCGTCTATAGTTTGAAAGTTAAACCTAGTTTGCCTGAAACCAGGGGTCATTTGGGGGGGGACGCGGGTGGACGCCATCCCCCCGGGTGAGGTGCGGGAGGGCGGGGCCTGGAGCTCCCTGCTGGTGCCCGCTGGAGGTCGCCGCCGGCTGTGGGGAGGA